TCAATTCCGTGACTATTCTTTTTTTCAGCTCCGTCCAGCGAGTGGTTAAACTGGGACTATTTGTCACCCCGTAACGTTGTGTGCCTAAAGGCATTAAAATTAGCGCGGGGGCATTAGAATTATCTCCTCCTGATAAGCCGCACGTGCAGCGATAACCTCTGGAGACCTGGGGGTTGCCTAAATACCCCCACTCTTCATTACTTGTCAGTTTCCATTGAAATAATGCGTATTTTCGACGGTGGGTAGAGGTAATAAATGTAGAAATATAGAGGGATATAGTTTGGTTTGATTGATATATATTGATGTGATTTATTCAGTTATTTGCTTGACTTGTCATCAGGAAATGTCTGTGGTGATACCGGGTGGTACAACGATGTTGGAAACATAGGAAATATCATTAAATTTTGCTAAAACTGCTGAAATATTGATTCCTCTGTTGATTCTGATATTTGTCTGTTTGTGCATTATTTACTGTTAAGTTTTATCTGAAAAAATAAAAAAGTTAAAAGGGTGAGCCACTTTTGAGACGCACCCGGTAATTACACTACTTTATAATAGTATACAGGGTTGTTCACCACATACGACACGGAGTATTGTAGCTAAACGATTAGATTTTTACAAACTTTTAGTTTTGGGTTGGTTGAAGGACTATTAGAGCTACAATTTAAAATTATTTTTACAAGATACAGAGTGTCCCAAATAAGTAAAACATATTATAGTTGTATTTTTTTAAATGGAACACCCTGTATATTATTCTATTTTTGGATTCTACTATTGAAATAAAGGTAAATTTGATTAAGGTTTATCACACTTAAACCTTACCGTTTTTGAAATATTTTCAATTTTATGAAATTGCAGTAAACATTTTAAGGCTTCATTTCTCCAAGGCTCCATTTCTCTTACTGAAGATTATTTATTGATCAGAAATTGTGTTGCTATAATAAACATTTTACTACCTTATACAGAGTGTCCAAAAATTTATATTAAATAATTACTAGCTTTAAACGGCAATAACTTGTCTAATTTAAAAGGAACACCCTATATATTTTACGTAAATCAGATGCACAATGTAATTGTCTATGAAATTGTAATATACCATTTTTTACCCATCTCTTCAAGTTTTCGTATAAATGCATTTTCTTATAATTTAGACTTCATTTATCACTATACCCATGGAATTGACGTTTTAGCTTATTTTTAAAGATGTAACAAATTTTCAAAGGATACAGATACTAATATTGTCGCTATAGTTCGCTTATTTAATTAAAAAATAAAAACTCTTTAAATATTTTTTGTTAAAGAGGACCAATTAATATGATCCCAGTATTTAAACTACATTAATTGACTATTTACGTTGATTAATAATAATTGCTCCAAATACAAAAAAAAAAACTGAATTTTGTGTGTGTTAGACAGTGTGGTAAAAAGTAACACTTTATATATTGTATTTCATTTTTTGACGAATGCTTATTTATAAAAAAACAGAGACGTTCATTTTCATAACTTATTATTATATTGATTTCTGAGCCAAATGCATATTTATTTAGAACAGCTTATTAATTAAAACAATTTAAAAGTATGTAATTAACTAAAATTTTTGGTGTTTTTGGTCGAAAATAATGGTGGGATATTTAATTGGTATACTCTTTTACAAAGATTTAAATAATTTTTTTTTTATATGCCAATGGGTTGCAATATTTACCACCTGTATATTTTGTACATATATGGTGCTATAAAAAAATCTGAAATGTCAATATTCCATGGGTATATTGATAAATGAGGTCTAAATTATAAGGAAACGCATTTTCTACGAAAACTTGAAGGGATGGGTAAAATGGTATAATACAATTTGATAGACAATTACAATGTGCATCTGATCCACGAAAATATATAGGGTATTCCATTTAAATTAAACAAGTTATAGCCGTTTAAAGCTAGTAATTATTTAATATAAATTTTTGGACACTCTGTATAAAGGTAGTAAAATGTTTATTATTGCAACACAATATCTGATCAATAAATAATCTTCAGTAAATATTTAGTATTAAAAACTTTGATACCCTTGGAGAAATTAGGCCTTAAAATTTTACTGCAATTTCATAAAATTGAAAATATTTCAGAAACGGTAAGGTTTAAGTGTGATAAACCTTAATCAAATTTACCTTCATTTCAATCGTAGAATCCAAAAATAGAATAATATACAGGGTGTTCCATTTAAAAAATACAACTATAATATTTTTTACTTATTTGGGACACTCTCTATCTTGTAAAAATAATTTTAAATTGTACCTCTAATAGTCCTTCAACGAACCCAAAACTTAAAATTTGTAAAAATCTAATCGTTTAGAGAATACACCGTGTCGTATGTGGTGAACAACCCTGTATACTATAAAGATATCCCTCGTATTTCCGTATATTCAAATACCGATAGAGCATCATCGCTGGTAGATGATGATGTATCTATTTATTTTTCTTTTGGAAAATTGGAAATTGCTAAGGCCGATGTCAGACTGTGGCAACGGACGGCAATAAATAAGTGTAAACGAACCTGCCGAGAGGTAATTTCAGCGAAAGGAGTAATTTGCGTAATTTAAACGTGAATTACACTAATTTTCGAGAATATTATGTTGCATAAACGTGCCTTCGTTAGGGGGGAAAAGTCAATTACGGGCCCGGACGAAGCAAATCTTATATAGAATTAAATTATATGTTTTTGTAAAAAATAAATAAAACAAGATCTAGATAAAATTGTTACGTATTATTTAATTTTATGAATATTTATATCAATAAATGATATAAATACATTATTTATTGAATACTAGATGTATATACAAGGTGGTCTACTTATATTCTGTCAAAAATGGTTTATTCTGATAGATAACCATAGCATGGATTTGTTTTCTTCTTTTTACAGCATTTAAATAATAGTTATTTTTTATACAAGACGATAAAATGGTATTTTACGAAAAGTTATTACATTTCAAAACAGTTAAAACACATGTAGGTGGCGCCCCCTATAAATAGAAGTCATATTGACATCAAAATCAAATTTCTCATGCCAAAAAACTCCCAAACATCAATTTTCATTCAAATATTGAGGTTATTTCATAAATTATTTGGAAAAAAATCGAAATAAAAATAAAACTTCTACGCCCTGTATCTTCGAAACTAAGTATTTTCGGACATACATTTATAGAAACTTTTTTACTTATTTTTGTCTGCAGAATATGCTGCCCAAGTTTCCGGAATACAGTTCGGACCACCCTGTATACAGTTGGCTAAAAAAATCAAGGAAGTAGGGCTAATCAAACATTTTCAACGTGACAAAAAAATTTCCGTTGCATTTCAACAGAAGCTGTTTATCAGGCGGATGAAACTGCCATTTGAATTTTGGAAACACGGCGGAGTTTCTGCCAGTAGAAGGATAGATGGCGCTGCGTAGAAATTTCATCTAAAGTCCCTAGATATTCATCTAGGGACTTTAATTTCATCATGATTTTATCAAGTCATCCACAGAGTATAGTTTAATTAACAATTCGTTTGATTCTCTGTGGAGTAATTGGAGTAGTTGGAGTAGTTGAAAAATATAAATATTTATATAAAATGTTGATAATTTTACAGCGATGTGCTTTGTTACCCTATGAATAAACATTGATATGAAGTTGCTTTCGCCAGAAACAATTATAATTAAATAATTTAATAAAAATTTAATTTCTAAGTGACCCGGATCAGTTAGATCAGTAAAATAAATTGAAAAATAAACGTCATTCCATATCTGGCAATGTCTGTCAGTTTCTGTGAAGTGGAAGTGAATTGTGATTTGTTTTTATGGGAATATTTACGGATTTTTGCGAATTTAGAGTATTTTGGACGATAGGATTGTGAAATTTAAAAGCCAAGTAGTTTCATATATAAGATTAATTAATCCCTGTGATAATTTTTATGAAATTTCTCATAATCAAAACAAATTCTTTCAACAAAATGGCTGTCTCAGAAATTTGGAAGATCATTAATTTTAAAGTTTTATTTAAGTGTATTTATATCGAATCAAGAATTTGTATAACATATTAAAAGCTTAATTTTAAAGGTTGTGCAGTAATTTATGTAAGTGTACGCTTTTAGATAAATATTAAATATACAAATTTGCAAAGACAAACAAGTAATTTTAAAAAGATCATTTATTTATTTAAACGAGTATAATCATTAATCATTAGGTTGAAAATATATTTGTATTTACTTATTTATATATTTTCTATACCCTTGTATTATTTATAAGCCCTATATGTCCTGTTTTATTTGAAAAAAAAATGCTTCGAGTCATCGAGAATAGATTTAATAACAATTTTGTCCCTTGGCTTTGTGTATTATATAATGTGAATTGTAAGATGTTTCTATTTGAATAGGTCATTAAAGTTGAGATTAAAGTTATACCAAATTATATTCACGGTAACTATATGTCTTTTATATAATGAATTATTTATTTATAATTTATAACCTTTTTTATAATTACTTAAACTGATTGTATAAATTCTGATAACTTTTATATATACTTGTATAGTGTTGAATGTGTTATTATGTAATTTTAACAATGTTATAATAAAATAATAAAGTTACAGATTTTTCGTGTTTTATTCTAATTTCAGGGATAATTTCAACCTAGATTATTAATTTATTTGTATCAAAATACATTACTTTTATTTTGTAAAATGTTTTGTTACAAATAAATTCATAATCTAGATTGAAATTACCAAATATAAGTAAAAAACTTATGAACTGGCAGTAAAGGTCCATTTAAAAATATGGCGCGAACTTTTAGTTCTGCCAGTAGCCCGCTTGGATCGCGTCGAGCGCGTGTTTCCAGGCTTTAACATATGAGTTTTCATTTCTTTCAGTTAGTTATTCTATGCTGTTTATTCACAACAAGTATAACAGTAAACAAATAGCAAAAAATCATTTTTTTTCAATATTACCCACAATTTTTTTTTAATAAAAACACTTACCTAGCAAAAAACGCCGCAGCTGCACTGGCCTGCGCCGAGTTACCCCCCACACCTCCGTTCACCACCCCGTACACATACTTTGTTTCCGCGTAAACACCAAAAACTCCACTTTTACCACCGTCCTTCACACCCGCCGCTGCATACACCACGTCCTGTCTATGATGGTGATGAAAAGCCACCCTCGATCCATCACCACCCTTCACCCCGTATCGACCACCACCCTGTATCACCTGATGCTGATGATTATTCTTAACAACCACCTGTTGCTGTTGTTGATTGTATTGTTTTCTTTGAGCGTTCACCCCCGGAAGTTTAGTCCTGAAATTTTTCACCTCCATACCAGTGTTATTTTTCGACGATGTCGTTATTGTTGTGGTGGTTACGGAACCGGCAGCGTAACTTTTACTCCTTTTCTTAGTTCCGTTGTGCTCGGAAGAGGTTGCGGTAGGCACTGAAGCCTGAGGATGGAGCCGCGTGGTGCAGGAACGTGGTTGTTGGGGGTCCCCCCCTCCTGCCGATGCGGGGACGGGGCTCCAGTCGTGGCAGCGGCCGCAGGATGAAGAACGGGGAGTGTGTAATGGGAGGGGGGTAGGTGGGGTTGTGTTATGGTGGTTTTGGTGGTTGATGTTGTGGCCGCTCCGGTCGAAGGGGGACGGGGGGACGTAGTCAGTTTTTTTGATGTGGTCTAGGTCGACCTGAAACAAAATAAAGAAGGGTTATAATAAAGTTTCCATGAAGATCAGTTTTTCAGGGTTCTGTACCCAAAGGGTAAAAACGGGAACCCTATTACTAAGACTTCGCTATCCGTCCGTCCGTCCGTCTGTCACAAAGGTCTATCTTATGAACCGTTATAGCTAGACAGTTGAAATTTTCACAGATAATGTATCTATGTTGCCGCTATAAGAACAAATATTAAAAACAGGATTAAATAAATGTTTATAAATAAAAATGTACTTTCACTAAACATTATCTTTTAAGTAAGAATTTTACATAGAATCTTTCAAGTCCTCGGTGGACGCGTGGTTAAAGCGTTAGGACTTTACGCTGCTATGACGTTGGAAATATCAATTTTTCAAAAGCCTTGCTATAACTGTTTTCACTATGCTTCCTATATCATATCTACATCTCTAATACAGAGTGTTCCAGAAATAAGTGCAGATATTTTAACTGGTAGTACATTTCGACCCCAGAATCAAGCTTAGTTTATTTTCGCGAAAAAAAATTTTTGACATTTTTTAGTTAAAAAACATTATTTCTTGATAATATGGCAACATAGGTAGTATATTAAATTTACAAGAAAGACACCGCAGAAAAGATCCCGTGGTTGTCAAAATTCAAGCAAAAAATCATTTTTTTTGGAAATTTTCAAACTAAAATAACTCGATTATTTTGGACTTATTTAAAAAAACAGTAAAGAGAAAATATGTTTTTTTTTATCGAGATCTACCACCCCTTAAAATATCTGTACTTATTTCTGGGACCACCCTGTATATTTGAAACATATCTACAGGGTGGTCCGAACTGTATTCCGGAAACTTCGGCAGGATATTCTGCAGATAAAATATGTAAAAAAATGTATGTTCTAAAATAATTAGTTTCGGAGATACAGGGTGTAGAAGTTTCATTTTTATTTCGATTTTTTCCAAATAATTTCTGAAGTAACGTCAGTATTTGGATGAAAATTGGTGTCTGAAAGTTTTTCGACATGAAAAATTTGATTTTGATGTCAATATGACTCCTACTTGTAAGGGGCGCCACCTACATATTTTTAACTGGTTTGAAGAACCATTACTCGTAGCGATTTTTACCAAGAGACCTTTTTTACGTAGAAAACGTAGTAAATGTATATTTTCTTTACTCAGTAGTTTTATACAGGTACGGACAAAAACTTATTACTATTTAAAACAGTTATAACGCATGTAGGTGGCGCCCCTTACAAATAGGAGTCATATTGACATCAAAATCAAACTTCTCATGTCAAAAAACTACCAGACACCAATTTTCATCCAAATATTGACGTTACTTCAGAAATTATTTGGAAAAAATCGAAATAAAAATGAAATTTCTACACCCTGTATCTCCGAAACTAAGCATTTTAGGACAAACATTTATTCGAATTTTTTTACTTATTTTTATCTGCAGAAAATGCTGCCAAAGTTTCCGGAATACAGTTCGGACCACCCTGTATAGTCCAACGAAGTAATTTGAGTTAAACCACAAACTAATGTTAAACTAAGTATAGAAGTAATGCAAAAACCTCTCTTACTTATTGACTTCCAATTATAACCTAAACACGTTGATTATTATCATTCTCGCCCTACCAATTTTTTTCCATCATATCCCTTTTTCCATTAACTTGAAAACAATATTATCTCGCTGACACAAAACCAATAACGCAACGCAATTAAACAATTCTATTTCATTTTATTTTAATACCCCCGAAATTTTAATAGATTTCAGTCCAATAAATATCTCCCTTGGATAAATATACTCGTATCCTATATTTGTCCTTTTTTTGAAATGGTTTATATTATGTGTTGTATATTTGTTTAAAAAAGGGACAAAAGGTTGGTAGAATAATATTAATTAATGTTAGGAAAACATGTTGAGTTTTCACTAATTATTATGAGTTTGATATACAGGGTGGTCCGAGGGGTGTCTCACTATTGGAATTACATGTACATTTTCTTGGCAGTCGCTGGCAGTCATTGGCAGTCTTATGGCAGTCGCCTATAATAATTACATGGCAGTCATAGGCAGTCTTCTCATAGTCACTGGCAGTCGCTTAGAAGTGGAAGGATATTTTGACAGTACGTGTACATTTTTTACCCAAGTGAGACACCCCTCGGGGTGGTCCGAACTGTATTCAGGAAACTTCGGCAGCATATTCTGTAGATAAACATAACTAGTTATATAACTAAATTCGTATAAATATATGTCCTAAAATGCTTCGTTTCGGAGATACAGGGTGTAGAAGTTTATTTTTATTTCGATTTTTTCCAAATAATTTCTGAAATCACATCAAAATTTAGATAAAAATTGGTGTGTGGGAGTTTTTTGCCAAGAGAAATTTGATTTTGATGTCAATATGATTCCTACTTGTATGGGACGACACACAGTGGATCGACGCAATGCAATTTGCTGGACATTCAGCAATTATGCAAAATTTCTAACCTAAGACATTTTTTTGAATAAATCTGTTCTAAAATCTTCAAATTTGTTAAAAATAGTCATAACTTTATTATAGATAACTTACTGAATAGTGCAGGGGTATTTTTGCAGGGGTATTTGAATATATATTTTATTTGAATTTCCGTATTAAATTGACTATTACAAATTAAACTGCATAATTTCATACTTATTCCAAAACTTAATGAACTTTTTATCATATTTTTATTCTATATGAATTATGACCTTGCGATTTGTCCAGTTCTTTAATACCAACATGTATTCAATAACAATAATTCCTTAATTATTGTATAGTGTATCACAAAAAATTAAATTTTAAACAAAATTTTCCATAGCCATCTTTGCTGCAAGCGGCGGCAATAAAACTTTGTATTCATAAGTTTAGCATAAAATAGAGAAGTCATACCCGCCAACAAATAATCGGGACTCGGTGGGACTTTTTGATAATTACGAAAGAAAGATGCAAACTATAATAAATTCCGCTGAAAAATGTATATTTTCATGGAGAATAGAGTTAAATAAACACCCAAAATTTCTTTTAAATTATTCGTTAAAATATGGGCTAAAACTCTTGTATGGGGCACATGAATTAAGTCATTTATTTAATCCATAATTTGCTCTATAAACGTCCCACATATTAAATATCTTTAACAAGAAACGCATATATTGTATACCATAATATATAGCTTTGGGTGAATTTTTCAATAAAATTCGATTTTAGTTGATTAAATTACGGCCTTCTGAATATGTATTTGAAGAAATTTGTATTAAAAGTTTAAATACGATTTTAAGTGTTATGTCCAGCATCAAACATACGATCGTTCTACTGTGCGACACTTACATATTTTTAAGTGGTTTGAAAAGTAATAACTTTTCGTCCGTACCTGTATAAGAGACATTTTTTATGTAAAAATGACGGAAATGTATATTTTTTACACTCAGTAGTTTTATACAGGTACGAACAAAAAGTTATTACTCTTCAAAACAGTTAAAATGCATGTAGGTGGCGCCCCCTAAAAATAGGAGTCATATTGATATCAATACCAAATTTCTCATGTCAAAAAACTTCCAGAGACCAATTTCCATCCAAATATTGACGTTACTTTAGAAATTATTTGGAAAAAATCGAAATAAAAATGAAACTTCTACATCCTGTATCTCCGAAACTAAGTAATTTAGGACATACATTTAGACGAACTTTTTTACTTATTTTTATCTGCACAATACACTGCTGAAGTGTCGCAAATACAGTTTGGACCACCCCGTATATTGGCCAACATTATTGTTCTTCCATCATTTTATAACTTAGTAAAAATATGACATTCGTTATAATTATATTGTAAATTCCAGACCACAAGTTCTATTATTGTTTAATCTAATCTGTTAACGTTTTTTTTTCATAGCAGCTGTTAAAATTGCCTTATATCTATCAAAAATAGTAGATAAAATAGTACTTTAACCACAAGGGTAGATTAAATGATACTTTAACAGCGAGGATAGGTTAAAAACTTTATTTCTTCTCGTTTTTACGTTTTTTAATTGCTTCCATTTTTGAAAATTTTTGTATTCCTTTTCACAAGTTATTCGGGATTTAAATGGAAGTATATCTCCTGAATATCTGTTGGTAATTTACTTATTTCGTTTTGAGCAATTTCTGACTCCAATTCAATCAGCAATCGACACGAAAGAGAATTAAAAAATATTGACTTAAAACTGACAACTAAAGAGACAGCTTTATTTATTTGTCAAATTACATAGATACCAACGCCAACCCAGCACAATATTTTTTCTACCCTTATTAAATTCCTTGAAATAATAATTTCTGAATATTTTTTAAAACGTAACTGGCTATGGAAAAAAAATATTGTTTTATACACGACGATAAAATTGCACTATCGTTTCCCAAAATTTATTCATTTCATTAATCTTTTCGACGATAAAATACCATTTTATCGTCTTGTATAAAAATAACGTTCTTTAAGTGTACAAATACGAATTAAAATTGCAAAAGGCACTTTGAAATTTAAATCCAGAAACCTCTATGACAAATCGTGTCGATTAACAAAGAAAAAAATGATACAGCCTGATTTCTAGTCCATCTATTAATTTGATCCTATGATTTCCATTGTGTTCTGTTCTGTTGCATATTAATAATACATTCCCAGCAATGGCAGTACTGTTTGAATGCCAAATGGGCACACAGCCGTGCTTATCGTCCTTCGCGAAAACTGGCAGACGCTGTGGCCAACATTAGCATATAATAAGTCCATAAAATCTATCAACGCGTCCTTTCTATGTGTTTGAATAACGATGTAGTGTTGATAAAGGCGTTGATATATCGTACGATCAAGAATTTTTATAACTAGCCTTCATTACAAGAAGAATAATACCGTATGATAAAAAAACGGCGTCGCAGATAGCTGATATCACACAGATAGACGTCATTTACTAAAAATTGACATAAAAATCATCACTCATTAGCATATTTGGAAAAAGCTTCTTTTAT